TGTTGTCAACATTCGGGTTGCCCTTTGCTGTGCAAAATTTGCCATCTTTTTTCCTGCTGGCCATGTGGGCATTATATTGTGCAGCAATCTCCAGTAGAGATGGGGGTATTTGTATATGATTTCCCCTCGCACAGGTGGATGTGACGAGGGTTAGGCCCCCTGAGAACGGACTGTCCGCTCACCCCTTCACCACCGGCTCTGCTCTCCCTTCCAATCACTCTGGAGCTCCCAGTTGGCTACCAGCTCATCAGCCTGACGGGGAGACTCATCTTCCCTCCTCCTGCCAGGAGTGGATAGTCGATCAGGAGCTCCAGAATGATTGGAAGGTCCACCTGGAAGGTCCTAACCCCATCTCTAATCTCCGGCCATTTCCTGTTTTTTTGAATTATGAGTATGGAAACACAGTATCCTACATTCATAAACCAGAGCTTCTTTTTAAGAATTGAATTTAAATATGGGGAGATAGTCTAGCACTGATGTGAGGATGGTGAGTTATAAGAATCTCAAGTCAGGAGTGGGAAGGTTAGGAACAAGAAAATCCGGGTAAAGCAGAACTTATCTTCCCTAATACTTTCATTAACCGAGTTTAGATATGTTATTCTTAGCTGCTTTTAGCCACCCACTAGGCTTTGGTCATTCTTATTCATTACTTTGATTATATGTCATTTTGGAAGAGGAGAAAATCTTTGTGGAAGAAGAAAGATGACTGGGTAGGGAAAAGTATGAAAGTTGCATTAAATGGGATGAATAAGCTGAGAGTGAGTTAGTAGGGGAACATTATTCATTCTTTTTCAAAATGGAGATGAGAGGAATTGTGGCCATTTGCTCAAACCAGGTGGTCACAAGTGTTAAGAAGAAGCATTTGTCCATGGGACACAAATCTCTGTGACCTGTCAGCATGGGAAGTTGTGATGAAAAATGGGTGTAAATGTCTTTGATAAGCAACAAGATGAATATATGAAAGGAACATCTATTAACCTCTGTGAATCATGCTAGCTGAAATCCCAGTTCCCTTATTTACAGCCAGGATATCTGTATATCCGGGTGCTCAAAGATCCAGGTTCCACTCATAAAACCATGCCAAGCATCTTCTTGTTATGCGTCAGACTTTTGCAAATCTCAAACCACTATTTGTCATACCAAATTTCATGGCAATTGAAAACACAAAACAAATCTCACGACCACCATGAAACAAGGAAACATCAGAGAAAACCTTAGAACAGACTAAAATTCCCAGTAAAAGCTGTGTAAAAGCCTAGGTTAAAGAAGAATGTTTTTGTCAGGTACCTGAATGACAGTGGTGTCGGTGTTGAATGAACTGTTTGTGGGGAGGAGCTTCCTTTTTTGGATGCTCCTCATATTTCTGAAGAAGGGACATGGTGGCGCTGCGGGTTAAACCGCAGAAGCCTCTGTGCTGCAAGGTCAGAAGACCAAGCAGTCATAAGATCAAATCCACAGAACGGAGTGAGCTCCCGTCGTTTGTCCCAGCTGCTGTCAACCTAGCAGTTCGAAAGCATGTAAATGCGAGTAGATAAATAGGTACCACCACGGTGGGAAGGTAAACGGCATTCCGTGTCTAAACGCGCTGGCGGAAGGTAAACAGCATTCCGTGTCTAATCATGCTGATCGGATGACCATGGAAAAAGTCTATGGACAAACGCTGGCTCTACGGCTTGGGGACGGGGATGAGCACAGCCTCCTAGAGTCGGACATGACTGGACTAAATGTCAAGGGGAACCTTTACCTTTACCATATTTCTGATGAAGAAGATTCATGAAGACCACATGGATGATCTTCTATCAGGGTCGAGCAACATCGAAAAGTCTGGGCTAAAAATAGTCCACTTCAAGACCTCTTGGTGTCTCCCCTTGACACCACCTGCTTTTTCCTCTCTCTTTTTTTTTAATAAACAATCCTGTGTTCCCTCTAGCAGGCATTGGGACCATTTTGCTATGCTTGTAGCTCCACTAGCCTGCCTGAGACCCCTGGGCGTTGACAGGGGTAACTTTTGAAAAATGGAAGTGACTGTAAGTCACAATGAATTCTTGAGACCTCGCTAGACGGAAAAGAGATTGAGGCAAAAATATGAAGATTAAAAGTTTTTTTTTTTAAGTTAAATTTGTATTGGGGTGTGCCAGGAGAAGGCAGGATTCTATGAAGAAGACAATAATGCTGGGAAAGGAAGAAGGTGGCAGGAAATGAGGAAGACCGAATACAAGATGGATTGACTCCTTAAAGAAAGCTGTGGACTTGCATTTACAAGAGCTGAGCAGGGCAATGGAAGCCTGCGGTTTTGGAGATTGTTCATTCAGAAGCGACTTGATGGAACATAACAACAGTAGGGTCCGTGGAGAATGGTAGTGGGTCAGACAGTGGGCAATGAGAAGCCACATCTGGCCATCCGGCGACCCTTTGCCCATTCTTGACTTAAAGTATCGGCAGGTTAGTGAAGTCTGCATGACTTTGATTTGGAGGAGTAGTGAAGCCCTCTGGGCTTTAGGCAAAATTTTAAGGAAGGTGCCTAAGTTGGTGTAATTTTGGAGTAAGGTTCAGCACCCTGGATAGCTCATGTGAACTTCAGATTTAACTCTGAATGGATCCATTGTCTCCATGAAATTGGGAATCACCAACACCCACAAAGGGCAGCTCTTAATAGAGAGCTAGCTTCCTTTTGTTCTTACGTTGTCTTAGGTTTGTCGTATCACGTTGTCAAAAGTCGAAGAGAATGGGGAGATGGGCGAGAATTTGAGAAATGCCCCCTGTACTGGGTGGCTTCCCATGTAAGATACATGCTATGTTTGAAGGGTGATGGAGGAAGTAACCCTCGTTGTGCCCTTTGGTGGAACCAGTTATCCCAAGTGAGAAAATGTTATATGAAGAAATAGCTCCCTGGGGTATTCTGGTCTAAATTATAAGCCAAAATCACCAATCTGCAGGCTCTATAAAACAAGAAGAGTTCATTATGGATGCTTTTCCCGTACAGGACTGTGTGAATGCATCTCATTCGGTTCATTGACTTCAGAGGAACTGCAACCATTCTACCAACTATAAAATTACTCTCTTGTTTATTTTCCATTGGACATCAAAAAAAAAAGGAAACTCGGTTTTATGAGGATTGGAAACATCTGTGTAGACAGACAACTGCAGGAATTCCTCTAAATCCACTGGAGCTCCTTTTTCATGAGTGTAATTACACTCTTAACAAGCATCCGAGTGCTGTGAGGGGCACAGGGTCTTCCACATAACCTTGACGCCAAGGTGGCTTTATTTACTTTTCTTCTCCGTGTGGCACCTCGGGGAAATCAGAGGGGAGGCCTTACCTTGAAGCTGAGAAAGTTGATTCTTCCATAAGTCATTGCTGGGAGAGTCGGTGTGTGGTGGACATGTCCCAGTGGATCAAAGGAAGCTCATTGATCATCACGGCATATTAGATGGAAAAATAGCACCAAAGGAGTGGTTTAGAAGCTGGGATGCAGGAATTGTTTCTAATATACCCATAGTAATGGGGGAGGTGGAGGTTAAAAGGATGGAAAATCATTTAAACATGGTTGATAGATTAAGAATAAAAATCAGAGTTATATCCCATCAAGTCAATTCTGACTCATGGTAACTCTTTTCCTAGTTGTCAGGGAGAGAATATGCAGAAGTGGTTTCCCCTTCTCTTCTTCCGGGGGCGCCCTGGGGCTGTGCAGCTTGCCCAAGGCTACATAGACTGGCTCTACTCACAGGAGGGAATAGCACTTCCAACTTCTAACTGGCATGCAAATATTTTCAATGTCAGGAAAATATTTTACGAGGGTTTGGATTGTGGAGAATTCTGACATGAGTTGAGTTAATCTGCACCTAATAGGCGTTTTGGGATGGCATTATTTGCTCCTTTTCTGAATTTTGTAATCTACTTCTCAGCTCAACGGACCATGCTCAAATACATTTGAAAAAGCTGCATGTCTCAGAACAAAAGTGGATACTTGGAGATACCTTTCTACCGAATGTTGAAAACTTTTTAGAAAAGTTGAGGGAAGCTTGGTTGCAACTTGGTCTAGTTCAGCCTCAGAGCCTTCCAGATGAGCTCATTGACAGTAGACCTCCTATGGCCTCAGTCCCTCTGATACTTACACTGTAGGAGCTGGATAGCTCAGTAGCTTAGGTCACTTTGGTTGGGAGTTCAGTTCCCCACTAGGCCTTTTTGAGAGAGGCTGGACTTGATGATCCATCGGGTCCCTTCCAGCTCTGCAGTCAAAGGCGCTTTTGGGAGTTCAGTTCCCCACTAGGCCTCCTCAAGAGAGGCTGGACTTCATGATCCATCGGGTCCCTACCAGCTCTGCAGTCAAAGGCGCTTCTCCTCCTCCTTCTTCTTCCTCTTCTTCTTCTTCTTCTTCTCCTTCTCCTCCTCTTTCTCTTCCTCCTCCTCCTTCTCCTTCTCCTCCTCTTCTCCTTTTCCTCCTCTTTCTCTTCCTCCTCCTCCTTCTCCTTCTCCTCCTCTTCTCCTTTTCCTCCTTCTTCTCCTTCTTCCTCTTCTCCTTCTCCTCCTTCTCCTTCTTCCTCTTCTCCTTTTCCTCCTTCTTCTGCTTCTCCTCCTTCTCCTCCTCCTCCCTTTCCTCCTCCTTCGTCTGCTTCTCCTCCTCCTTCTCCTTCTTCTGCTTCTCCTCCTTCTCCTCCTCCTCCCTTTCCTCCTCCTTCGTCTGCTTCTCCTCCTCCTTCTCCTTCTTCTGCTTCTCCTACTACTACTCCTTCTGCTTCTCCTCCTCTTCCTCCTTCTCCTTCTTCCTCTCCTCCTTCTCCTCCTCTTCCTTCTGCTTCTCCTCCTCCTTTTTCTCCTCCTCCTCCTCCTCCTTCCTTAATTTTGGTGGCTTTGCCCTTGATGGAGGAATAGCTCCTGCTCTCAGTTACTTTGTTGGGAAGTATGTGAATAGATTTTGAACAGACACAATACAATATTCTCTGAAATCACGTTAAAAAAACAACAACCTTCACATTCCTTCTTCTCTCGCCCTCCACAGGTCACTCGGGTACCAGTGGAATCCTGCGGTCAGTACAAAAGCTGCAGTGAATGCCTGGGCTCTGGGGACCCCCACTGCGGATGGTGCGTGCTCCACAACACGTAAGTGCAGCTTAACAAGATGAGGAGTGTGGGGATGCTAATCTCCATCACCTGCTTCTTCTTGGACTATTTCCTTTCTCTTACTATTGGCTGTGGGCACAGAACAAGGTTGCAAATGGATAAATCTGTCTCTGGTGATGGGAACTTGGTTGTTTGAAAATGCCATCTGGGAGTTCTTGATTTTTGAAAATGAGCATGAGAGGCAGAGGGGCTACCTGAATCTGGACACACCTACTTTGGTGTACTTTTAGAGGCAAAAACTATTGATTGATTGATTGATTGATTGATTGATTGATTGATTGATTGATTGATTGATTGATTGATTGATTGGATTTTTACCCCGCCCCTCTAGACCATGTCTAATTCAGGAAATGCTAGAAAAATCAGCCGCCTGTGATCTGCAATCACAGATATGGGTAGGGATAACAAGGAGTCCAGAGTGGGCTTAAACAATCAAGGATCAATCTGTGCAACACACTTAAAAGTCATTTAGCAATTCTTCCTTCCTTCCGGGGAACCAGACCCAACTCCATGGCCTGAAACCTGTGGTAGAGTGACAATGGCATAAGGATAGTGGCCTACATCGTGGGACGAAACAACCGCTAATGAATGAGTTGCCCGTTGCATTTCGACTCATGCGCTGCAAGTGGCAACTCATTCATTAGTGGCAATTTGACAACACAGGTGAACCCAATGCACTTATCTCTGTGTAAATCCAGTGTCAATTGGATTCTGGTTGATATGTAAGTCCATGTATTCAATTGCCCATCCCCTGCACAGGTTCAGATCCTTGGTGAGCCAAAAGTAGGAGCAATCAAACATTTCACAAAAAGGGAACTAAAGAAGTGACCTCAAGCAAGTGAATAAAACTCCGGGGCTGCGTCTGGCCCATGGTCTTGCCCCCAATATTTTCTTTGGGAAGAGGTTTGAGCACAGCAGTGCCTCTTAACTCTCTCTGTGTGTGTGTGTGTGTGTGTGTGTGTGTGTGTGTGTGTTGATTGCTCCTTTTATTCTGCTTCTCTTCCCCACTTGCACATCCCCATAAAACCCATCGCTCCCACTTTATATGTAAGTAGGAAAGGCCCATGGAGCAGGCTTGTGAGGTCCAAGTTGGTCCCTCACTAGCGGTTCTTTCCCTGGTTGTGAACTACAACCTCTTTTGAAACAGCCCTGCCCAGGATGACGAGGGAAGCGTTCTGCCCCCAATGTTGGTCCCTGTGTGGCATTCCCTGTCATTCACACCCGATGCTTCCTGTACTCAGAATATCCGCGACTTCGAGACATCTGCCAAACCCATGGCCAGCCAGACAGGGGAAATGGCTAACACCTCTCCTACTTCTCTCCTTATTGTTTGTATTTCTGGTGTAGCTGTTATGAGCAATGGCAGATGGCAGGATTTAGCTAATCTCATCATTTCCTCAATGTCCCTGCTTTAGCATTATTGTGTGGCCTTCTGGGAAAACGAGACTGAACTCAGCCATGCTTGCTTTATCGGCTAACGTTTTCAAGAGCCCTGCTTGCTCGGCAGCCTCTCCGCGAGTCTGTGCCATCTGCTAGAGCAGTGGTTCTCAACCTGAGGTAACCCAAGTGTTCTTGGATGGCAGCTCCGAGAAACCTTCACCGCCAGCTCTGCTAGCTGGGGTTTCTGGGACTTGTAGTCCAGGAACAACTGCATTACCCAAGCTTGGGAGCCACTGTGCTAGGAGACCATGTGGGGATCTGACTTATTAGCCTTCCTCTGAGGTGATGACCTTTGTGTGCATCAGTGTGGAAATCACAAAGTCCCCAGTCAGCAATGACCACTCTGGCTTGGACGATGGGAGTTGGGAGTCCAACCCATATGGTGGTTGGCAGTAAGGGAAGGATGGCTTCATGGGTTCTGTGGAAGTTGATTGAATTAAGTAGGGGAAAGAGTTTCTTATAGCAATGGGAGAGCATCATGCCTCGAAAAGACTTGGAAAAAAATGAGTGAGGCGGAGCGGTATCAATGTTCTTCCCCCGAATCTTGAGGAAAGTGAGGAATTTCCTGGTGCTCTCGCCCTCAACTGAGTTTTTGCATTGACCAGAATGACATTTATTTATTTATTTATTTATTTAT